AATTTAAGCACCACCCCGAATTTTAGTCAAAATTTTCCTTTAAAAAGGTGGTGCTTAAAATCGGAAGAATACGGTATTTAATTTAACGGCATTAGTCCTTTGAGGACTATGCTAAAAAATATAAAAATAATTTTTAATTTTTATATTATTAATTGAGTAGTGAGGCCCAGTTTGTACCAAATATCGGCTGGAGACTCAAGTTTTCAAAATTCATTTTATTTATTTTTTTTTATATTTATTTATTTTATAATTTATTAATTGAGTAGCGCTCAGGACCCTGCGCACTAATCATTATTCGTAAAAAAAAAGATAATGAAAAAAAAGTTTCAAGATTTTTTTAATAATATGCTTGATTAGAAATTCAACTTTTTTTGCATGTTTATTGTATCGAACATCGCTGTGTCAAATTATTTATAGAAATAATATTTTTTTTTGTACCTTTATGCAATTAAAGAACTGTGGTATAAAATTAATGATAACCCACCTCATAATGTCGCTTTATTATATTTAATAAAATACATTTTTAGATTGAACAGAATGCATTACATAATTTGGTTTTAATCATCATCTTTAATATGGCAGATTTTGATTTCAAAAATTATTAGAGTTTCTATTAACGTATAAAATGATCTCGTGTAAATGTTTACAAACGGATCTGAATAAACATACAGTACATCAGCCCCGCATAATCTTTTTTGAAATAAACAACTCTAAAAAAATAATATAATAAAAAGTTTATGATATATGATTCAATGATCTATTTTTGTACCTTTAAAAATAATAATAAAATAAAAAAATAACTTTCTCATTTCGTGACGTTAGCCAATGTAAATAATCACCATCTACTTTTCAATCCTTCTTTGGATAATCGTTATTCGGCAGCGGAGGTGGTTTCGCACCAAAAAATAAAGCTCAAGTAATTGTCCTCCAAAGTAGTAACGAAATAGACAAATATAATTCTCAAGAGAAAGAGCAAACGATATTATTTTTTGATGAATTACAATGTTTCGACGAAGGAATTGGCGAAAAAATCGATTTCTTGTTAAAAAAAGGTTTCTTAGTTATTGGTGCAGGGTTAGATAAAAACTTTCGTGGGGAACCTTTTAATGAAGTTATGAAATCTTTACTTTCCTTGGCTGTTGAAGTTATTAAATTAAAAGCCATTTGTCAAGTGTGTCAAGGTGAAGCTAGTTTTACTCAAAGAATAATTTGCTGCTTATGATAGTCCTCTTGTTTAATAGTAGGTCAAGATGGTTATGAAGCTAGGTGCCGCCAGTGTTATGCTTGCCCAAAAAGTTAAAAAAATTACATTACTTGAAAGTGGCGACCAATCTGGTTTAATTTAGAAGGTTGAAATGAATAGAATTAGAATAAATGATGATTTTTTGACAATATAATTAATAAAATCAATTTGGACTTTTGCTGTCGTTTCTTTTAATTATTTATTCAATATTTACGAGAAGAAAATGCGACCACGTTATAAATGGATTTATCACTATAATATTATTGATAAATCACGTGTTTAGATTTAAGATTTTTTTTAAAAAATAAAAAAATGAAAAAACTTAAATACGTAATATTCCAATTATAAAATTATATTCGTCTTTTTTGAAAATAAATGATAAAAAAGCCTTTAGAAAAAAAGGACTATTTTTTCTCTAAATTCACTAAATGAGATTGCTGGTGCGCAATTAATTAAATATTATTTGATGAGTATTTCTGTCATGAGCGAATGTAATTTTTAAATGAGAAAAAATAATAAGTAAATGTCATGTCATTATAACCCTATGAAAAAAACCCATACAGTTTTTGTGTAGTTTTGTGCCAAAAAAAAAAACTACAATTTTCGGACCGTGCAGGGTGCCAAAACATGAAATAACCCTAGTACCTGTACGGTCAAATTTCTAGCACATTTTCCTACATCATCTGAATTAGGAAAATCAACTCTACTAATCGATATAGTTTTTGTATGATTATTTCCTAGCTTAAATTTATTATCATAGATAGTATTTTTGTCTGCTCTG